TAATACAGTTAATTATGACATCAAAAGTATTATCTTATTTATTATTAAAATATCATTTTTAATTTATGCTACTAAAACAAATTATTGAATTAATGTTAACTTATATAAATTAAACATTACAGTAGTGAAACATTTTTTTATTGTTTCTATTTGAACATTATTGATTTTATTTAAATATTTTACAATTAATAATACACAATTAAAAACTGAAAATAATTTTTATTTAAATAGGTCACTGCAAGATCAAAAAATGCCATTGAAGCTTGGTTTAAAGATTTAGCTGGATCTAAACCACTTACAAGCTTAGCAAAAAAGGTGAGATGTCTGTTCATGTTTATATCCAAAATTCATTGCTATAATTTTATTTTAGTTAATTTTATAACTAAGCATTCACATGGACTTTGGTCAGTTTGACTCATGTTATGCATCATAATCATGCATTTAATTTAGAATAATAAAAATATTTTTTGATTGAATTATTTTAGGATTCTTTTTTATTTTTTGCTATTTTCAAACTATGTAAATTCATACCATGTACCATGTAAATTTATAAGATCAGTCAAATTGCTCAGTATTTTTTGTGATCAATCATAAGTTATGTCAGTCTATGCAAATTAAAACCTATTTTATAACATGGTTATGTCAATAAAGCTAATAACTCAACATTGTGGTATCACTATAACTAAGAAGCTTTCTAAATTATTCATGTTAGGGAATATTAAATCAGAATATTTTTTAAATTTTGGAACTTTGAAGATGAGCATTTTTTTAACAATTACTTTTGAACATAAAAACAATCTAAACAAGATTTTAATTTGGGGAATAGGAACTGTTCAGTTGGGACCAGACCATTGAGGACTTTGAAAGGGAGACAATTTTGGAAATACAAGAGGCTGTACAGAGGGAACTAAACAGAATTCAAAAAGGTTTTTCAAGAGGGCATATGTAAATTGCAAGAATGTGCAAAAATTTGTATAGGTCATGGAGGAGTGTATTTTGAAGACTGATACTAAAATGAATCATTTCTGTCAAAATTTTTTTTTTTATAAATTTAATCTTTAAACTTAATAGGTGCACCTTGTATAAATAACAACAATAATTTTTAATATTGATATGATAATTATTAAAATATATAATTAATTTTCACTTTTTAAATATGTGATTGTATAATGAAGATTTATAGATTCATCAAAATATAATTAATATTAAACATTACAGGTTCCTATTTCAAATAAAAAAGAAGAAATTTTTATGACATTATATGAATTTTCTGTTCCAACAATGAGAGCTGCTTGGTTTATTAAAATGTCTTCTGCTCATACAGTAGCAATTTCAGAAGCAAAAATAAAGAAACGCCAACTTCCTGATCCTTCTCAAGGTTAGCATGATTACTTAATATAGCATGATGTAATACAGTAGCACGTCATTTATCCGAATCATTTGGGGACTGGGGTTATTTGGATATCTTATTTTTCAGATAACCAATTATGTATGAAAAAATATATTAACCTGTCCTATGTTGATCCCAAAAATATTCGNTAAATTTTTTCTATTAACATAATTTTATAAATTTTCTTCTAAATGATATAGGATGAACTTACGGCAGTTAATGTTAAACAGGGATTCACTAGCACACCACATATTGCAGATGAGGTAAATTTTTAAAAATAATAATCATGGAAATTGTATCATTAAAAATTATTTTTTTATTTTGTACAAAAAATAAATATATTGAAAAATATAAAAAAAAAAAAAAATAATATTTTGGAAGTTAATCTAGTATCAAGAACGTTCGATTCAGCATGACACAGTCTGACTGGAACGCTTTCAGTTAACTGACGTTTCGGTTGATCGGCTTTCAGATAAACGATGCTCTACTGTATTATATTTTATCTTCAATATCTTCATATATTGAATTTTCAAAAAGTCTGTGAATTTTTAAAACATAACAAAATTAATGTGAACTAAGTAAACATTATTTTTACTGTGAGCTTATTCAGTTAGTGTAGTTAGAACAGCTTTCTTTTATAAAGAAACTTTTTACATTCAAAGTTGCTTATATGAAATACAATAATTTCCCTACATTTATAATGTTTTTAATATATGCATGAATACTTGTACATATACATAAAGGTATCCCATGTACAGCACAGCATTTCTACAACACAGTTTTGCTCTAATACAGTTTGAAAATTGGGAAAATCCCCTGCACAACACGATTTCTAGTTTCACTCTAGCATGATTTGAGAAATCCTCTATACAAAATAACACAGTTTTTAAGTGTAAACGCCATTATATGATATTTTTTTTATTCAAGTAAGCAAACAAGTTGTCTCAAATTTGCCCATGAATTTTAAAATATTGAAATTTTCAATTTTTGTTTTTGTACCTTTCATCATGTTTACTTTAATGAAAACTGATAGTAGAATTTGTCTTCCTTGTCCTAGCTTTCCTACCATATCAACCAGGTGTTGTCATTGCTTTCAGACTTCAGCCATTAAGAATGTCACTGTTTTGTTTTTATAGATTAATCATTTAATAAAGTTTATTTAAACATTTTTAGGTAAGTGTTATTAACTTTTTTTTAACTGTAGGTAAGTAATCATTTGTAAAAATAATGAATGAAATTCCATGCTATCTCAATACTACTCAAACTCCAACAATTCAATTTTTAAGCACAAATTCTAGAAAATGTTGCTTGGTACTTGACTGAACAAACACAATCCACTAAAACAAATTTTTGATTAATATCATATTTTTATTTTGCCACCCATAAAAATTTTTATGATAAAAATAAAAATATATGAAAATGTTGCTGATATTTTGTATCAAGATCAACAAAAAAGCTCAGAAGATGGCAATACTTTGTAAAATGAAAATGCCCTTGTTTAAATAAAATTGATATTAACACATAATACAGTTAATTATGACTGTTAGTTAATTATTGATTGGAATAAATTATCAGTTGCTTTAATAAACATATTTTTCTTACAAGGAGACCCTGCGGCTTTGGGGAAACAGATTTTGATGATCTTTGGTGTAGAGATAGTACACCATGTGAGTGTACTACCTGTAAAATACTAAAGTGCAATACTCAAATATAATCAAGAAAAACGAACTTAAAGTTTTTTTAGCACTTTATATATAAATTATACATGCTTCCATTTGAGCGTCCTGTGGCTGAGTGGTAACGATCCTGACTCTTATGCCTGAGTTCCCGGGTTCGATTCTCGTGTATATATATATATATTTTTTTAATTCATAAATACTTATAATGTATTTATTTATTTACTCATTCATTTATTTCTTATTATTTATTTATTTTAATTTAATTTCTACTATTCCAAGTCTAATATTTTTATACTTTTGTTGACAATAACGGCGCATTCTTGACACCTATGTGTCAACTTTCCCATCTAATTGTTATCACTAACGGTGACCGATCTAATTCTCACTAGGAGCGTTTTTTCTATCGGAGTTCTTTTTCACTCACTCTTTAACAGTTCGTTTCTAAATTTCGACACGAATAGACGTATTTGTGTAGTAAAACTTATTTTGAAAAATTATTTTATAATCAAAAAATGTCGTCAAGAGAAGCAAGTTCTTCACGTTGTGACGAAAAAACTGTTGATGATAACTCTTTATACAGTGATGTAAAATACTAACTTGTAAAGTGCAAAACTCAAATATAACCAAGAAAAACGAATATAATTTATTGAAGCAATATTATATAATTACATATCATTGTCAGATGTACATGATCGTGAATGATACTTATGATAAAAACATTCAAAACAAAAATTCTGTCTACACCAAGAACAACAAATAAATGCTGCTTTTTTAAAAGGTATCATCAACAGTTTTTTCGTCACAACGTGAAGAACTTGCTTCTCTTGACGACATTTTTCGATTATAAAATAATTTTTCAAAATAAGTTTTACTACACAAATACGTCTATTCGTGTCGAAATTTAGAAACGAACTGTTAAAGAGTGAGTGAAAAAGAACTCCGATAGAAAAAACGCTCCTAGTGAGAATTAGATCGGTCACCGTTAGTGATAACAATTAGATGGGAAAGTTGACACATAGGTGTCAAGAATGCGCCGTTATTGTCAACAAAAGTATAAAAATATTAGACTTGGAATAGTAGAAATTAAATTAAAATAAATAAATAATAAGAAATAAATGAATGAATAAATAAATAAATACATTATAAGTATTTATGAATTAAAAAAATATATATATATATACACGAGAATCGAACCCGGGAACTCAGGCATAAGAGTCAGGATCGTTACCACTCAGCCACAGGACGCTCAAATGGAAGCATGTATAATTTATATATAAAGTGCTAAAAAAACTTTAAGTTCGTTTTTCTTGATTATATTTGAGTATTGCACTTTAGTATTTTACAGGTAGTACACTCACATGGTGTACTATCTCTACACCAAAGATCATCAAAATCTGTTTCCCCAAAGCCGTAAGGTCTCCTTGTTAGTAACAAAAAAAAAAAAAAAAAATAGTATGCTATTGCTAACTTTTGGAACTAATCCTATGTTTTGTATTAATCTTTTGTTTCATATAGCATGGATTTGCATAACACAGCACTTTTTCAGAATGTAACTACCATTTTCTATGAGAGATACCTGTATATACATACACATGGATGGTTGTGTAATAAAATTTTTTAAGGTCAGTTTACACTATTACATCAGACTGTTTTACTTTTAAGGGACTATTTTAATCTTGAATTTCTTATAAGGATATTCATGAAGGAATTTTTTTAAATATTAATTATTGCTTATAACAGAGATATATTAGATAACTGATAAAACCTTCTAATGAAAAAATAACAATTTATCAGTTTGAATATTCTAAATTTTAATTGAAATTGTTTACTGAACAGTTTAACATTATCAAACAACTTTATCAAATCAAGCATACAATTTTGAGAAAATAAAAATAAAAAAAGATAATTTCTTCGGCATATTATCAAATAAGCACTTGATTTTACTTAGATCATACCAAATACAATAAGCAGATTGATTGATTTATTTTGTTTTTTGAAATTTCTTCTGGAAAGAAAAATAATTATTGGTAAATATATTCATAACAGCACATGTAAAAACTGGAACAGTACAAAATGAAACTAACAGCTATATGCAATTTTCAGCAAATAACTGTAAAGTTATAAGTTTTTGACCGCTATTCCTCATCAGGAAATAGAACCGTTTTTTTTGTTTTTGTTTTATTTCTTGATGAGGGCCTCCAAAACAGTGGTGGAAAACCTTAGATCTTTTGTTATTTGCTGAAAATTGCATATAGGTGTTAGTAAATATATTTATCATTGAAAACGCATTTTATTTAATATATTTTTTAATCCTTTTCTTTAATATTTTTCTATAGAGTGGACTCAAGCATTGTGTAAATTTTTACGGGAACAACTTCAAAAATTAGCAGAACATTATCATAGTAGCATTGCTTTAGGTAGTGCATCAAATACTACAACTACATCTATGGGTTCTGGTAGTAATAGCAATGTTATTGGTTCAAGTTCTACAGGATCAAATTCTCTGAATGTATCAGTAGATGTTGCATATAAACATTGGCAGTATATTTGTCAATTAGCAAGACATTTATTTGAAGTAAGTAAATTAATTAATGACAGTTATTCAAACTAGTATTATTTGAAAACAAGAAAAATTTGCTATTTTATTGTCAGAAAGATTGTCTGTTTCAATATTTAAATATAAATAAAAGGTAATAAATTTTTATTTATAAAAAATTATAAGTTATTTAAAAATTCAAAGAAATAGTATATTATAGGACAATTATCTTATAATGTTATATAGTTTTAAAAGTATTTTAACTTACATTCTTTTTCACTCATAAAAGTATTTGAAATTAATATATTTTGAATTTCTTCTATGTTCATAGATTTTTAATTAATTGAGCTGAATTTATTTCGAATATTGAAATAAATTAAAATTTTCAGATTTGTAAAATAAAATAAATTTTATTTACAAACTCAGATTTTATGATTTATTTTTAATTGTTTAATAATTTAAGTTTAAAAAAAAAGAGCATAAATCACACTTTCAGTTAAATAAATTACAGTACAACCTACTTACAGTAATCAGTTGGGACTCATTTATATTGGTGATAATAATTGACTTGATAATATTAAGGATGTAAATAAGACTAATTAATGGAAATGTTTTGGTTTTATTGACTCTGACATTAAAAAAGACAAGTTAAAACAATTATAAAATATATCTATATATATAACCCATTCATTTCGTGTCCGTCCCGTAACCGTTTCATAACGGACACTAGAGGCGCCCCTATCGTGTGTCATATTTCAAACACCAAATTAAATTAACAATTTTATTTATTATTTAAATTAACAATATAAATTATTATTATTCATTTGGCCAATGAATTATTATTTGGTCAATATAACAATATAAATAATTCATTATATTTGTAATAGGAATTTATTATTGTCACGGAATGCATGTAATGTTAACTAGGGGACGAGTAACGAAAAACCGGATAGGTTTGAATCACTACGTAAGACGATAAAGTTTGAAATAGTTAATTAATTAATTAAGGTAATATAAGGTAAAATCGAGGTTTACAAGCGAAGGTAAATAAACAAATTAAACTATTTTAAAGTATTTATAGAATGTTTAATAGATACAAATATAGATCCGTATGACGCGATTGGGACGGTAAGATTTACCCTCCGAATAAAGGGAATGGCGACCCCCCTCTGTGCGAACAATAAATGTCTAATGAACCATCCCCGTACGCGCAACCCTTCCCGAGATATAGCCCTCCGAAAATTATTCTACGGGTCACGTGACCGCCTGTTTGCCAGAATTTACCCTGCGAATGAGCGGGTCGGCGACCCCCCGAGTGTGGGC